ATGAATTGCAATTTTGCAGGGTTTAAAATTCATGCAAATGATCAAATAAATAAAGCTAACAATCAAAACAATAAACCAGTTTTCTCTTTCACAATAGATAGTATAGTAATCAAAGTGCCACTAGACTTTTCATTCTTCATCGTGCTTCATTATTCCCTAGGATTTTTTTTTAAAAAAAAGGTCAATTAGTAAAGAAGCAAAAATAACAAATCAAATTAGTTTGAAAATCGTCACTGCATCATAGTTGAATTGTTTTTTTGGCTTTTGCTTTGGTATAGAGCTTAACTGAAAAGAGAATTAAAGAAGCTTATTTAACCTTGCTTTGGTTATCAACCTTTTTTTTATTTAACATAGCTTCGCATCTAATTAGAAGAATGCTGCAAGAAATATCAAGCCTATCAGATTAGTTAGGGTCAAATACTGATGTATATGCAAATAATAATTCAATGTTGCAAGTAAGTGGCCTTTATGTATTTTAGTTGAATTAATATTGTTTAATAAACCTTTTCTTCAATGATGATTTTTTCTTTTGCTATGCTTAAAAGACTAGTTATCAATGCCTTCCTAACTGCACGTGGCATAAAACTTCAGATTTAGTAATATTTAATAAGAACTGAGGCCCACTTTGTTTGAATATAAATAACAATTTCTTGTCGCAAGTAAGCAGCCTTTATATATTTTAACTAAACTAACTTCACTTAGTGAAGCTTTTTTTATTAATGGCTTTCTTTCTAGACTAATTGTCCTGATGTGTTGTAAGAAATCTCAAATCTGTTAATATTTGACAATGACCAAGGTTTATTTGGCTTAAATACAAATGACAGTTTTTCTATCTCTCAAGTAAGTGGGTTTTAGTTCTCTTAGCTTTATTTTATTGTTGAACCTTTTTTACAATTATTTTAAGAATGATTTTAGTGGTGATCTACACCTTTCCAATAACATCGAATTTGTTAATACAGATTTGAATGAAATTAAGTATCAAAATGATGTTTTAGAGTTAGACAGTGAACTTGAGGATGAAATGTTAGAGTTAGAAATTGGGCTTTCTTTCTTTAATTGGTCAGAATTTAAGACCTGGCTCAACAAATTCGCTAAACAAAAAAGATTTAACTACAAGGTCCGGATGAGCCAGCAGATGGTGAAATCATACATAAGGTTACTTATGAATGTTCAAGATCTGGTGTGCACAATCCACAAGTGACTTGTGACCCAACTAATCAACGAAATGTAACCTTAATATGGTTACAATGCCCTTGAAAGTTAAATGTTACTTGTCTCAGAATGACTAATATTATTAAGATTAACTCATATGTTAACATTCATAACCATGAACTTAATTCAACCAACTATGAAACAGCACCATGATTTAGAAAATTAATATCAGAAATATTATCTGATATTGAAAAATATGCTATACAAGGTTGAATGGATTCCAGAACTATTTATCTCCTACTCAAGCATGATTATCCCAACCATCATATTTATAAAAAGGATCTATATAATGCTGTATATAAGTTTCGGCTTACAAATAATCCAGGTGATTTTGACGCATCTCAGATGCTTCAAACATTATTAAATTTTAAAGAATCAGATCCTTTGTGGGTAGTTAAACCATACTTAGAACCTTTATCCAGAAGGCTAAGTAGGTTATTGTGGATGTCACTGTCTCAACATAACTTATATAAAAATTTTCATGATATTGTAATTTTAAACACAACATCAAATACCAATCACTTCTGTATAATGCTTTGTGTAATTATTGTTATTGATAATCATTTCAAGTCACAAATTATTGCATTAGCTATTATAGATGATGAAACTCTCGATTCCTTTCAATGGATTTTTACAACAATTTTTGATGAACCAAATATTAATTCTGGAGTTATATTTACTGATTCTAACTCAGCCATTATCAGTGTGATTAATGAAATTTATCCTAATATGAGTCATTTATTATGCATTTTTCATGTTGATATGAACCTTCGTAAGAAACTTAAAAGTAAATTGGGATCCCGCTTTGAAGAATTTCGACAAAAATTTTATGCTTGTCATAATTCTTTATGTAACAAGTTATTTGAAGCTCGGTGAACTTACTTGATTTCTGAATACCCTGAATCAGCTAAATATATGGTAGAAACACTTTACATTAATAAAGAATCTTGGGATTTGCTATGGGTGTGAAATCAATTTACAGCTGGTGTTCAAAATATGCAAAAGATAGAGTCGATTAATAAGTTGATTCATGATAAGGTTGATTGGGCTACTTCTTTGTGTGATTTGCTTATAACTATTGATAGTTGTGTCAAAAATGGAGAACAGTTTGAAAAATTTGAAATTGAACATAATGTATTACCAAGAGTTGGACTACCATCATTGAATAACAGATTTTTTAAAGAAGTTGATAATATTATCAAACAATTCTTAATACCTATCATACTAGGAAAGCAATGTCAACAGATGAATCAGTCAGTATGTTATGATGTTAATCATATTGTAGAGTGGAATCAGTTAATAGCTGTAAGTTTTTTTTCAATTTGTTAATCTGAATATAATCAGTTCTTTCTATAATAAACTAATAGTTTTGGAAAAAAAAAAGTTCGTTATAAATAATTACTATGTTTTCTTAAGGTCCTATGACACTTTTTATATTGAATTAGTATAAAACTCTAAAGTTTATTAATAACTTGTGAATTGGTTTTCAACATGTAATAGAGTTTCATTATTACAATATTAATAGTTTAGCATAAATAATTTGCATTGTTTATAGGCTGATGATGAAGATGAAATTATCTCAAGGCCTTGAGAACAAGAACAAGATATTCGACAAGTTCTTTTTAAATCATTAATTGGAAATGTTATTCAGGCAATTTTAGAAATATGGAACATCTGTGCTACTAGAACAACAGGCATTGGACATTATATCATATTATTAAATGACGGTACACACCTGTATACCTGTCTTCTCCTCTTAAATAAAGGCTAATATGTTATCATTTTTTTCGAGTTGCAACTTATTCACACTTGACTACTTTTTATATTACATTAATTCCATCTTGCTGGTATCTGGAGCCTAATACAAATAAAGAAATGTTTTTCCAACAAATACCAACTATTGCAGTTTGTGGTGCATTTAAACCAGAAGAGGATCAACCTATAAGCAATTTTACATTTAAACATTTATTTGCTATTTGATCTATACTATGAAATTCTGAATCAACAACTAAATCTGATAAAGCTATATATGCAGAATTGTTTGGATTATCAAAAAAGGTTATTAATACAGCTATTAGAGCCAATGCATCATAAAAACTATCTGATACTTTGAAATCATTGCTTTACGATATGCAGAATAAAATTGACAAAAATCAACCAACTGATTATAATCATATTACTGTCGTTAATTCTAGTATTACTAGGCACAAAGGCCGACCACCAAAATGATTGAAATCTAGTGTCAAATACTCATCTTATAAAGGCAAACAAGTATTAAAGAATAGTATACATGTTAATATATCAAACAACTCTGAAAATACAAATATAGTTAAGAGTAGCAATAGTGGTATGATTACAAAGGGTCGTATGTGTGAAAAGTGTAAAAAATTTGGCCATTATGCAAAAACTTATCAGGAGTTAGTCTGATATGAATAATATTTGATACTATGGTTTTGTTTGTTTTATTTGGTACTTTGTTAAAAGATTGAATTCTTTGAAAATTTACAAACAATTATTTTTCTACGTATACATATATGTTTATGCACTAATCATATAATTCTATTATAATTCAGCTTTGTACTATGTAACTGTTACTAGTTACGTATAATTAACTGATTATTAAATATGTACATATGCATATAATTGTATATGTTAGTGGTTACTCAATCTAAAAAATTGTATTATTATTGGTATGTGTATTAGTTATATGTATTATATTCGAATTTACTAATTTTCACCTCACTTTTCTGCGATTTTGATTGGCTATACTATGAACTACCTAACAAAAATTTTCAGTATTAAAATTCTTAAAAGTTTGTTTAGATTAGGGTTAGGGTCTATGCTAAGGTTAGGGTTAGAAGAGCTCTAATAGTAAAATCGTTCAAGAAAAACTTTTTGTTTTTTTTTTTTTTTTAAGTTAAAGTCTCTATCTTGGGAGTTGTGATGTTTTTATTCAAGTATATTAGGACACAGCATGCCA